CAACCCCACCACCGTGACCCACCTACCCACACAGAACACACATATATATACACATTACAGGGAAGAGGACCCTCCGTGAAACCACCCACCACCGTGAACCCACAACCGAGTTTGGTCCCTGTGTAGAAGAAAGAAAGAGGAAGGACGTTGCTACTGTAAAAAATTAGGGAATGGGGAGTCACGACTGCAAATCCAGGGGGAATCGGAGAAAGATTTGAGGGATGGAGTCGCCGGAATGAAGTGCAGGTCGCCGGAGTACAATGACGTTTTAATATATGTGTGTGGTCGTGGTTAGACGATGTGATCCTGTGTGGTCGTGGAGAGAGAAAAAAATGGTGAAGAGGTAGCGGTGGACGGTCTGTGGTGCGCGCCGCGGGGGAGGGGTGGGGGGGAAGACGTGCGGGACGATTCTTACATATGTATATTACAATATATATATAGAGAGAGAACCTGGGTTTGTTTCAAATACAACTCGCCGTATTTGTATAACCAATGTAACCCAATAAATTGAGATATTTATGGAAATGATAAAAGTTCATTTATTATTATTTGAATATTTATGGGAGATAAATATGGTTCATTAATTATAATCAATACTTTATATTAGGAAATAATCAAAACTTCTATGAAATCACATATTAATCAATATATATATATATATATATATATATATATTTTATTAACCTGGATATCTAACACGCTATGCAAGCCGACTAATCTCAGGATGACCACCTACTTTGCAGATAGCCCGAAGTCACCGCATGTGAGCCTCCGTGGCCACAAGGGGATTTTTATTCCTCCTTGGATTTGAACCTAGGACCTCCTGGTACTTTTGACCTTTAGAGCCAAGCTCAAACCAATCAGACACCACCCTTGTCGTTAATATGTATAATATATTAGTGTAAACCTATTAGTACTAAGGTTTGGTGATTTCTTAAAAAAAAGACCCAAACTTCAATAAATTAAAGATGTAGTCCCTTTAAGTTTGGATTCTATTTTGAAAGTGGGACCTTATCATTAACTTCGTTAAAAAAACCGTTAGAATCAGAGGTAAAATCGTCTAACCATATTTTGCCTCTCTTTTTACATTGTATTTATCTAATTTTATCATATTGGTTTTTGTTTGGTATAACATCTGATCTGATGTTTGTTTAGTTCAACCATGAGATATATTAATTTTGCATCAAAATGGTATATTTTTTAATAATTAATCTTTAGTTTATTATACATATTTTTTTAGCATAAAATATAGCATTTAAAGAATATTTTTGTTTTGTTTTATTATGTCTATTATTCATGTTGTTTATTCAACTAACCAAATAAAACTAAATTCATACTGACGATATAGATTGTTTGGCAATCTATATACCGAATTTAGGGGGTGTTTGAGATTGCTTATTTTAGGTGTTTTTTGATTTATTTTAGTCTGACACCGGTGATAAGCTAAATGTTAGTGTTTGGATGGGGAAAAATAAAACTGCTTATACTGGTGTCAAACAGTAATAAACAGTTTTTGATAAGTTAATCTTTCCTGACTTATGAAAAACTGTTTATTATCAGTTTACCATTTTAACTATGTTTTATTAATGTCTGCTAAATATTAATCTTATTGATTTTTTGTCAAAAATATCATTATAAATGATGAAAAATAAATTTTTACATGTTAAAAAATCAAATAAGTTAATAAGCAATCCCAAACACTCTCATAAGTCAATAATATGAAAGACTGTTCTTTTTAGTCATTTATATATATATATATATATATATATATAAGCAAAATTTGTCAAACACTAAAAAACAACTTATCAGTTTATTTTTTTTGGTACCACTATAAACTAATCAAAACACTTTTTACAAGACTCTGGTTTGATACCACATAAGTTAAGAAGCACTTTCATAAATAAAAAAAAACATAAATTGTTTTAAATAAGCAATCTCAAACACCCTTTTATTGGCAAAACAGTTGTGAGTAGTAAGGTCTCAACGGAATTTGGTTTACCTTCAACAAATATTGTTTTTCCTTTTACTTTTTTTTGTAATGGATGTTTTTCGTATTTTGTATATTAAAATATGCATAATACATCATAAACTGATACGATACTACACTATAAAATTGATAACTAACTAAAAACTCTTTTGCTTAATTAATTTAAATCATAAAATAAAAAGAAATCCTAAGCGAGCTTAGGATACGACATATATAGTACGAAATAGAATGGATGGTTCGAGTTTTTGGCTATATGAATCGCACCGCATCATACGAATACACAACTAATCTTTGTTTTACTGATGGTCTTGTGGTTTCTTTGGGCTGTCATCAAATAGATATTTGGGTTGCTACCTTAACTTGGTAGTTGGCTCAATTTTTTTTTTTTTTTTGAAATATATAATAATTATATATGACAAATGCAACAAATAAACTCACACACCCTCCACACATTTGATGAGGTTTGAACCCCTGACTTACTAGGAGACCAAAGACTACGATACCGCTAGAACAAAGACCCTTTGATTAGTTGGCTCAATTCTCTTGGACATTTCTAGACCAGTGGAAGTATAAAGTGTTTAATAATTCTTCTTGGATATTTTTTTTATGGATTTGGTTTGTGGTGGTGGATTCTTGAAAGAATCGGTTATTATGTTGATAGATTTGGGATGTTTTATGATATGACATGGATTTTCGAAAATGTTATTTGCCATTTTATAAGGCTTATTTTGGTTATATTCCCTAAACATCTCATGCATGACTAACAGTTGTCAAAATTCAACATCAAATAGATTATTTGATTGTTTCAGCTCCTTTCAAATCCATTGAATATAGAACAATCAATAAAGTGTAGGGTCCGACAATTTCAAATACAAATCTTTATCCTAATCGATATGTCTGCTTACATGTTTTCAAAATTTCACATCCCGCCGCATTGCACGGATAGACAACTAGTTATTAAAACAAAACCGAGTTTATCATGTCTTAAAAATGTCTTAGTAGACCTTTTTTATATGACTTATGTTTATAAAATCCAACAATTATGTGTCATGTATAAAGGTGTTGCAATAAGTTTATATATACTTTTGAATGTTATTCTAGGACATGGTGAGTCCAAAACAAAGCCAAGGAAACTCAACCAGAATCTAAAGAATGAAGGAAAAAAGAACCGTAAGCACTTACATACCGTTTCGAGCTCGGCTTTTTCCAAGAGCATTCAACCATAAGAGCCTGTTTGATTTGTGAAATTTGGTAAATTAAATTACATTTCAATCATGCGTTTAGTTTATAGGAAAATAATACATTCAAATTCCGGGATTTCAATGAATCACGTAAACATGGGATTTAAAAATCTCATGAAGATGTTTGGTATTTTGTAAGATTTCATAGAATTTGTGTATTATAATTTTTTAAATCTGTTAAAATCACTTGTTTTGTAATAATCAATTAATAAAAAAAATGATTTAATTATTTTTAGAGTAAATTACGTATTTGGCCTTTTTGGTTTGCTGATTTTTATGAAAATGGTTCCTAAACTTTATTTACTATGGATTTGGTGCTTGTGGTATGCAGTTCTGTTGGATTTGGTTCTTCAGTCTATCGACCATCTACCAAGTCTGTTGAAGTCGAGGGCATAAGAGTCTTTTTCCATTTTCTATTTTTTACTTAATTTTTTTAAAATTAGGGGGGCAAAATGAATATATTAAAACTTGGAGGGCCAAAATGTTAAAGTTGTATTTTTTTTTATTAACGTGGATATTCAACCCGCTATCGGCTATGCGAGCCGGCTAATCCTGCTTTGCGGGTAGCCCGGACTCACACATTTGAACCTCTGTGGCCACAAGATGATTTTTATTTCTCCTTGGATTTGAACCTGGGACCTCCAACCACTTTTGACCTTTGGAGCCCAAGCTCAAACCAATCGAGTTGGCTAAAAGCTTTATTGATGGACCTAGTGGCCGGAATATTAGGACGGAAAGCTCGGGCGGTTTGTCGGTAAGCAAGCTCGAAAAAACCAGACTTGGTGGCTAAAATGATGTTGGAAAATCTATCTCATTTGGATATGATATACTTGTGGAAAACAAACATCGAAAGTTATATATAAACTTATTAAAACACTTTTATATACGAAACATATTGTTGGATTTTATAAACACAAGTCCTATAAAAAAAAGTCTATTATGACATTTTTAAGATATGATAAACTCGATTTTATTATAATGACTAGTTGCGTACTCGCGTAATGCAAAAGGATATGAAATTTTGAAAAGATGTAAGCGAGCATATCGATTTACGGATAAAAATTTGTATTTGAAATTGTCAGACATCTCATGCATGACCAACGGAAAACAACGATTCAAACCGTACATTATCAAATCGCTTGCAAAATTTCATCAACTTGTCCCAAGCGTCAACGAAACCCGAATTTATGGGCACCGGTGTATTATACAAAAACGAGTATTAAAAACGGAAAACAGGAAAAAAGCCGAAAACCGAAAAATATTATGTATTGAAATAGTCAACAAACCCATGAAGCAGACCTTTTCATTTGAGGCTTCATCTGTTTGTCTTCCTCAAGTGATATCATACCCAAATGAGACGGATCTTCCAGCATCATTTTAGCCACCAAATAACCTGCTATAGACCAAGTCTGGTTCTTTCGAGCTTGCTTACCGACAAAACGCCCGAGCTTTCCGTCATAATATTCCGGCCACTGGTCCATCAACAATCGGCTTTCGGCTAACTCGATGGCACGTTTTGCGATCTGGGGTCGTCCTGCCTTGATACACGCTGCTGTGAGAAGCCATATGAGAACTGCAACAACAAGAAAACGATATGGTCAAAACACCAAAAAGCACGGAGGGAGCAAGACAAAAAGAAAAAAAGTAGATAAAATGGCGCAAAAGTGTCTGAACAAATAACGGGGAGTTTTCACCTGGCCATGATCCGCCATTGTGATAGCTCCAGCTCGTGTTTTTCGGATCACATCCGGTCACAATTCTCCATTCGTGACTTTCCATCGCCGGATAACAAATCTTTAGCGGCATTTCTCCGACAAGTTCTTGCCAACGTGATTCAATGAGGTCCATTATAGCAGAACTCTGCTCCGGGGTCGCTAAAGACGACAAAATAGCCACACAATTACCCAAGCAAAACCATCGGAAATCCATTTTGGCAGGACTCACGTTTCCGATAAAGTAACCGCCTCGGGTCGGCATGAAATCGAAAACCCAATCGGGAAGCGAGTCAGGGATGACATTAAACTTGTTTACCGCAGTGTGCGAGTATTCCTCCGTTTTGTAGCGATATATGTCGTTCAGCTGCTTTATGTCGAGCCAAAAATAGCTTCTCATGTGAAAGCTTAGAGCGTGAAGGCGTTTGACTATTCGGTCAATGCAATCGTTACCTTCACAATCGCGCTTAAGAAGAAGCAAAGCGCATCTTAGAGCCATGAAGAACAATGCTTGTATCTCGATTGGGTACCCATAAACACCCTGATGACAAAAGAACGTAAAAGCTTCAAATTTCGGACATAGTAAAATTACGAATTTGCCCATCAACGTTTTCACAAATGGTAGATCCTATGAATATATGAATAACTTCTTAAACCGTCGTACTTGCATTCTTGCTGCAAACCAACCATCAATTTGCAAAAATGTAGTTTTTTGCAAGAACGATGATTCGTTTGCAGTAAAACGCAAGTACAATGATTCTAAAAGATCCACAAGACTCCACTATATCGTCGTCATTGAAGGGTATTTTCAACATAAACTGAAAAATGAAATGGAACAAAAGGAGCAAACAGAACAAAACACAAGACAGTTGGTACTAACCATTCTACGATCAATCATACAGCATCCGTCAGCGCATAGCAAAGTAGGGAAAGTATCGAACCCTTCAGAAAGGCAAAGAGTCATAATAAGCCGAATACCCCTTTGGCATTCGGGCATCTCAGCTAGAGAGGTGTCACCAGTAGATTTCGTATAGGCACGAAGCAATATAATCCACCAGAAACCCGAATCAACGGGAGCCACTCGCCCTATGGCACTTTCACCATAATCCGCCAATATGGTATCCAAGTTCCTAACGGGGTCGTGAAGCACTTTAAAACTTGCGGGCATTACCCCTTCACCCAACTTGAAATTGTCTATCTTCTTTTCCCGCGATTGGAGGAAAACCGTTTTCAAAAGAAAGTTTTTTACGATTTCAGGCTCTCCGTTCATCAAGAAGGCCAATGCGCTAGGCACAAAGTCTCTTACAAAAACCTGCAGAAAAGATTACATTACGTTACTGATCTGCAAAAAGGGCATGACGCCATCCTCCATCCCCACCATACTTGTAACAAACAATCCAGGTCGACCGTACCAGATATTATCCACTTTGTCCACATACCTGGATTCACGGTTTTAAAACGCGTCGGAGGTATCCAGTTCCTTATAAGACAACGTTAGTTCTCCTCCCTAACTGATGCGAGATCTTACAATACCAGTTCCATGGCCATTGACTAAAGTCAAACCCTAGACCTTCCACTCATTCTGCAAGAACGCCCACTTCCTTACTTGCTAGGCTAAGGCCGTGGGACTAGATAGAAAATAACTTCAAGAACATAAAGAGAGAAAAAAGCTCGTTTCTATGAACATACCGAAGCGAAATAGGGACTCAAAGCGCTACCAAATTCATAGTTTCATATGCATTCATCATAATTATAAGTTCAACTCAAGTAATTGCAATTCGATATCGTGAAATTTCAGAAGAAGGAAAGCGGAATTCACCTGATCATAGTTAAGTTCCTCTGAAGAATTGTCGATTGCAGCAATAGTCCCAACGGGTAGACCACGAAAGTTGACCATTGATCGTCTCAAAGCCTCCCAAGCATCTCCTACAATCGGGTGAGGCTCAAAGTAGCCACTTCTCGGAGTTCCAGTCCATCTCCCGGGGGAATACATACAATCAAGATTATCAAAACCACCACCACGTGAAGAGTTATCGCTCATTCGATAAAGATTGCGTGGTGGTGACATGGTGATCGACATCTCACTAAATGACCTCTCATCAAACGATCTTTTCCGCTCTATGTTAACCGGCCGCGGTTTTTCTAGCAATCTTGTGAGATCAGAATCATCGATTTCAAACAAAGAAGGTTGTGTGCTTCCTTCTTCCTCCTTTGCCTTCACAGAACCATTCGAAGTCCCTTCGACCGTTGAAGGAGCCATTGTTCGATAAAAATGTTTCAAAAAAAACTTCTAAATTCGGGTATTCGAATATCTGAAGTTTCCATGAGACATTGAAAGACAGATTAACAAAGAAAGTCAACTAGATCTTTCTTCCTAAAGCAAAAGTTTGTCTTGAATCAGAACACAAGAAAGTCAACAAGAAAAATCTATGAATTCAGATCTGGTCAACTATCACAATCAAAGGTAACAAATGTTGGATATTAAGCAATCAAACTTCGATCAAAACAAAATCACCCATTGAAGCAATTAACATTAGAAACACATCATGATCACATCTTCACCACAAGTTCATCACAAAATTCACATTTTCCAGATGGATCAATCATCAATCAACAATCATCAAACAATAAGAACAAGTATACGATCAAGTGAATCATCAACCATTGCAGATACTACTTATGTTCTTGGTTCTTCCCTAACTTTTTTAGAAGTCAATAAGCAAAACCCACAAATGATACCGCAAATCAACCAACATATGCAATGTTAAAACCCTAATAATTGAATCTTGGAGAACAGGAACAGAAGATTAAAGAAAACCCATATCGTAAATCATTGAAATGGGAAGTGAAAGAAGGAGAAACGAACCTTGGAAGGTTGGTAGATGAGAAATCGATGAAATCTAGAGAAGGGTCGTTGAGGGCACCATCAAACTCAGCAAAGGGGGGATCAAAAGAGTATACTTTATTCAAAAATCAAAGAAGGTCTTCCACCTCTGAGCGGGCCTACTCATATAGGCACCTAGGGGAAGGGGAGTTTCAAGATAAACCTTAATCTTTAGAAGTTTTAGCATGTTCAGCCCTCGTATTTGTTTTTATAGGATTTTTCCAAAATATTTGCTCAACCATACAAACAACAAAGTGAGGGTTATTTAGGAGAATGACTTCTTTGACATATTTTTTTTTTTTAATTTTCAGGGGTCGTTTACCAAACACTTACTCGGGTAAATGAACATCAAGTCACATCACCTTATCGGATGAATATGGTAAGGACCAAGAATCTTACCCAATAAGAACGAGACAAGGACCAAGGGGCTGTTTGGCAATTGTTGAATGGTTTGGTGCAGAATGATTAAGAGGCTTTCATGATATAGTGCAAAATGAAATATAATTGTTTGGTAATTATGTACAATGAAATTAGGGCTCTTAATGGTTAAGAAAGATCCAGGATACAAAATCATTCAGAGGGTTTTATAACCATTAAGAGGCAAAAAAAAAATTTGCCAAACAAGATTCACCTCTTAACGATTCAGATGTTGCCTCTTAATGGAACCATTAAGAGGTAAACAAACAACCCCTAAAAGTCTTACCCGGTAAGTGAGAGTGACGACTTTTACCACGGTAAACGTTTACCGAGTAAATTGTTGCATACAATACCGGTGGACTAAAATTCTACCTTGTAAGTAAATGATAGTGTTAGATTTTATCGATAAGCTTACCGGGTAAGTGTTTGGTAAACGATCCCTTAATCTATTAATAAGCTTAAGAACAACTCTTTTTAACATAACAATAATCTTTTTTTTATTAACCTGGATATCTAATCCGCTATGTGAGTCAACTAATCCCAGAACGACCACCTGCTTTGCAGATAGCCGGAGTTACCGCATTTGAACCTCCGTGGCCATAAGAGAATTTTTATTCCTTCTTAAAATTTGAACCAAAGTTTTTTAAATTTTATTATAAGGTTATATATGTAAAACAAAACATGTTGTGTACAATTGGTTAGATCGTGTTTGTTGTTCGTCGTATTTTCTTCATTATGTTCTTTTGCTTGTTTTGTTAGTTTGGTTATGTGTTTTTTTTTATTTGTTATAGTTTTTGCTTCTTATAAAAGTGTGTGTATACGTCTAAGGAGAGAAAAAAATATAAATCAAACAATTTGTACAAACTGTGAAAATCTCATTCATTTATCATATTTTTTTATTATTATGAGGGTTGATTTAGTAATTTTTATTGGGGAGGGCATTAATTATAGACATTATCATATTCATTCTATTAATTTTAGTAAACAATTTTCATTAAAATAAGATATGTATGAAACAATTTAAGTTTTGCATAGAAACATAAATATATGAATCAATTTCATCAAAAATGAATTATTTGAAACAATTTCATCATATTAAGCAACTTTATAAAAAAAATTCACTAAATTAAACATTGAAATCGACGGTTTTCACGGTTTGGTTTGCAACTTATCCCTCCCCTACATATATACATGCATGCATACATACATACATACATACATATGTACGTACGTACGTACGTACGTTCATACATACATACATACATAGATATATATATATATATATATATTGGAAAAGAAAGTTATATAATGAAAAACGTAAGAAGAGATCTTCACCCTTGTATCAATTATAAATTGAATATCAACACTAATGAGGTGCACTAAGATACACCAGATCAATTCCCTTCTAAAGCGCAATTCATAAGAGTGTGTAAGATTAAAAGTGACAAGGATTCAGATTTCTTCTTACGCTTCTCACACGATCTTTTGCATATATATATATATATATATATATATGGTTAGGTTTTAGTGAGAAAGAGAGTTAAAGCCGAAAAACATAAGAAGAAATCTCCACCTAATCAAGATTTGCATCTTTGACCATGATGCACCGGATAATTCCTCCCATGGTATGTGGAAGATAGAGGGTTACTTTCATAACTTTTAAAAATAGGTGGCAAAACAAGTGCATATGTGAACCCGTGTGATTTACATATGAACTATTTGACTGATTCACATATGAACTAGTGTGATTCACATATAAATTAATTAACTAATTCACATATACACTTGTTTGTCACCTATTAGTAAAAGTTACGAAACTAACCCACTATTTTTCGTTTGACCAGTCAAAGCTGCAATCTTTGACCAATTTTCTGCATGAATGGCTAGGATCACTTCTTTACTTCTCAAATACTTATCACTTCCCAGATGAACTTCTCTCTCTCTCTCTCTCTTTATATATATATATATATATGGACATGTTCAAACGAGAACGCTAACTTTTTAAGAAAATATAAATATGTCGTTAATGTACAAAATCATACAGGTTCAAAAGTCGTCCGCTTCCAGTTTTTTGACGTTAATGTAAAATCATATGTGATTTTGTACATTAACGATATTTTTCTTATTCTCCTAAATAGTTAGCGTTCTTGTTTAAACCGTTCTCTCCTTATACAGGTTTAAAAGTAGTATGATTCATTTTTCTTGTTCTAAATAGTTAGCGTATTAATTTGTATAAGTAGCTAAAACACAAGGTCTATTTTGTAACTTAGCTGCGAGGGTTTGACGTTTATAAGACTAAAAGCTGTGATGTTTTAACCAATCCAAGCAACCGGAGTAGAGAACAGAGGATAAATTAGATTAATACAAAAGCAGGTGACCGACACGTGGAATTATCTTGGAATATCCGACGATAGTTTTTGGAGAAATCTACGGTCACGTTGTCCCTTTTGTAACCTGTGATTTGGAGGATCCGAAACGGGATTTACCAGATTTTTTTTGTTTTTTTATCATAAATATATATATATATATATATATATATATAGGGAATGGTTCAAACGAGAACCCCTGTGATTTACGAGAACGCAAGAACAACCCAATAACCTCATATTATGATTAAAAATAAAATTAAAAGATTTTTAAAATTTAAATTTAAATTTAAAAAGATTCAAAAAAATTTAAAATTAAAAGGGTAATAATGGAAATGATATAATCAAATCTTTTAAACACGATCATTATCTTTTAAACACTCATTATTATCATTATCTAGTAAAACAGTTACGAAATAGGTTAGGATTATACTAGGTGTGA